GGAACACCTTTAATTATAGCTAATCTCACCAACTTCCTCACTTGCCTGGCCTCACCATGCCATCAACTGCAAATCTGCAATATACATTTCCTTTTTTGTCTTCGGTAAGTATCATCTCACACATATATTTATTTATAAATAATAAAAGTTAAAATATATATGGATAATTTGTCATGGGTAAGGGTAAGTATGCACTAAATATAGGTTTTTTGACCAAAGTAGGGCTGCATGGAAAGTTATTTATGTAAATGGGGCTGTTTAGAAATTATTTACGCCTTTAGGGCTATTTACAACGGTGTCGCTATGGCTAAACCAATACACCCCCCTAAAATTGCACAATTATGATATTTGAGGAACTAAAATTACACAATTATGATATTTGAGGGACTAAAATTGTTCAATTAAAAATTAAAGGACCAAAATTGCACAATTGTAATTCTTTAAGGACTAAAGTTACCCAATTAAAGTCTTGAGGATCAAAATTGCACAATTGTAATATTTGAGGGATCAAAAATACCATTAAGCTTATATATTTTTATCTATTTAAATTATATATACATATAATATATGTAACTTAAATAAATTATAAAATCTATATATATATTATAAAGGAGATATTGGGACATATAATCGTTTTTGATATCCACTTTTTAGTAGATCATTATACTTTTCAAATATAAAAAATAAAATAAAAATATATTTTCTCTGAATAACTATACGCAATCTTTTAATATGTTATCTATGTATAATTATTAGAGATACAAAGTACTTCAATCCCTCTAATCTATACCTATTATAAAAAGATATTAAATTATGTAATTATCTTTAGTTTTCACTTTTTAGTTAATCAATATATCTTTCGAATATAAAAAAAAATTCTTATATCTTCCCTAAATAATTACTTTCAATCTTCTAATATCATGTTTGTGAGTAGTTATAGAGGCACAAAGTGCTTCAATCCCTCTAATTTATATAATTAATAAATTTATCAGTAAATTCAAATTTCATGTCATAGACGTCCTTCACTTCACTTTTCATCCTAAAGTATAATATTAATTTGTATACACATTAAATAAATTATTTTATATATTTCTTTCTATTAATATACCTTTTAAAATCTTGAGGGTTATGAATCTCACGGTAAATAATAATACATGCTTTTGTTCTTTATGATAAAGAAGCCTCTAATATCTTTCACAAATCAATAACCAAATTGATAAATGATTTCTTTAAGAAGCATACAAAATTGACCTCTTTAAAGTTATTACAATTACATTATTCACTTTTTTCCATAACAAATTATCGTAATAATATTTATTAATTACTTTAAATTTTGATTTCATATTTTAATTTTTCTACACTTCACTAAAAGAACTTGCTTTAAATTCTACATCTTTATTATCCAATTAATATTTTGTATCAAATTTTCCAACAATCATTTCTTTTAGTCATTTGTTGAAAATGAATTTGAATTCTCATATATTATACAAACACTTGGACATAAATTTATTTGTATGTTTAATATCCACTACTAGACATAAATTGATACGTATGATTTAATTAAGGTGGAGATGTTGAGGGGATGATCGATAAACAATAGGACGCAATAGCGATGATGCAATAGTTGATGGCTTTAATTAACGGCATGAGGCCACAACGACGACCGAATTCTGTTATAGTCGTAGAGTCCACTTGACGATGACGATGAGCAACGTTGCCATTGTGAGAGTGGCAGCGAGGCTGCTCGAAATGACGACAGAGGGAGAAAGTTTGTGTGACATGACGAAATCGTACTTCGAGCGGTTGGTTGTATGCGGACACTTTTAAATTTGGTTTTGAAATTTAGATATAAAAACATGCATGTCAACTTTTTTTTTTTTAACATCTTTGCAATTTTGTTAATCCCTAATTCAAACATCAAATGTTGTATTTTTAATCTTTTGGATTGAAGTGGAGAAGAAAGTGCAAATACAGATATTTCCACTTGTTTTCTTTGTGATCAATGATGATATTTGTAAATTGATGTTTTGAATGCATAATGTTTTTGGTGACTAAAGTAATTCGAATACTAAATTCGTGATTGATCGACAAATATTTGACTAGGCGAGTATAAATAACTTAAAGACAAATTCGTGATTGATTGGTAAAAATTTGACTGGACGAATATAAATAACTTAAAGATCAAACTCGTGATTGATCAGTAAATATCTGACTAAGCGACTATAAATAACTTGAAGACAAAACTCGTGATTGATCCGTAAATATTTGACTGGGCGAGTATAAATAACTCGAAGACAAACTCGTGATTGATTAGTAAAAATATGATTGGGCGAGTATAAATAACTCAAAGACAAACTCGTGATTGATCAGTAAATATCCAACTAGGTGAATATAAATAACTCGAAGATAAACTCATGATTGATCAGTAAAGATCCAACTAGACAAATATAAACATCTTGAAGACCAAAATCATGATTGATCGATAAAAATATGACTATACAACTATAAACAACTCAAAGACCAAACTCGTGATTGATTGGTAAAAATTTGACTGGGCAAGTATAAATAATTCGAAGACCAAACTCATGATTAATTGGTAAATATTCGAATGGACGAATATAAATAACCCGAAGACCAAACTCATGGTTGATCGATAAATATTTGATTGGACAAGTAAATAATTCATCCATTCTCAATTCTAAATTGCTCCATTATTCTTGGCTACAATGTCAACATTATGCTGATATGGTCATATGCATATTATCAAGAGGTTTTTAGAAGATATGGTTGTACACACTTTCAACATGGGCCATAACTTAGCCAAAATATTTGTTCTTTATAAATGAGAAAATGAAAGACACGAGTCCGACAATTTGGCCAAGTTTTCTTATGATTTGTTATATCGACATTATAGTGTTATGTTTGTAAGATTATTGAGGCAATGTAAGTGTTTTAAATCAAATATGGTTAGTATCTAAACTGAAATAACAATAATAGAATGATGTTTTTAGGAAGGGATATATGGCAATTTCATCAAACCCTTTTGCCTTATTAGCTTGGGGTTGGTAGGTAAGTGTACCATTCCGGATAAATTTCGAGATGATTTTGTTGATCGACCTTAGTCGAGATCTTTGATCGAACATGCTGAAGACTGAGCCGAGAGGGAATACCAAAAGATTGGGAGTAGGCTGACTTCCTAATGCAAACTACTTCCTTAAAAGGATATCAGAATAAATCCATTATAGAGGGTTGTATATGAAATAAAATCTTATCTTTAATAACAAAGATTACAGTATTAAAATTACTTTAGAAAATTATGATATTTTCGGGGCCCACAAGACTCACGGATAAATAACTATAAAATCTCAAATCCTAGACTTAAGAGGAGATATTACACTTTTGAATGTTTTGATTTTGGAGACTCATCTTAAACAAATCTTAATTGTCCTTTAGATTCGAACAATTACAATAGTCAAAAAGAGTTTTACGGTAATGATCAAAGTGCAAACCTTGTTGCAGCAGCATTTGGGAATAATTCTACCAACTAGTGGCCAACATAAGCGTAATTGTTTACATGTATGACACTTCAATTTTAAATAGCGGTTAAAAATTTAGTGTTGCTTATGTTTTGTGTTTAAACCAGCGTATTTACATGGATGGTACTAGTGTTAATATTTAACAAGATATTCGGATTCATATTTCGATCCGTCATGCACTGTTAAGTTCCCACAATCTCCGATGCAATGCATTCTTGCTGAGAAAGGTTCAACAAAATTATTCTTTGTAGGGCATGCATATTATTACATACACATTGTTTAGTCATATTGACCAAATTACCCTTCAGCATTTTATAAGATAACATTCTCTCTCTATCTTGTGTTTAGTCGAGCAGCAACAGGGATATATCCAAAGCTAAATTTCATCATAGCCTCAAATAGACAACTTCGATACCCTCCAGAGTGTGTTTGCTTCTGAGTTATATATCCGCAGAAAATCATGTTAAATATTGGTTTGAGGTTGGTCTCACACTTCCTGCCTTCATTTGTTTGTGTTTTAATTATTCCCTTTTAGCTATGTTTTCAGTTTGATGATTAAAAAATTAAGTATAAGATGTTCTGCTTGGAGTTTCCACTCAGTCTACTGTTGAATCTTTTGAATCAGCTTTCTGTCAATGGAAATTAAATACTTTGGATTAAGAAAGTGGCTACGGATTTTATTTACTTGTCCACTTTGTTGGGTGGAAGGATTGTGTGTAGTGTTGATCCTGCATGTGGATTTTCCTTTCAGTTCTTTGCTTATTTTCATAACTGGCTCAGAGTCTTAAATAAGACCAAAACGTAATTGATAAATATATATGACTTCAACTTGAAAAGAACGTAGCTGGGTGGGGGTATATATATTGATAATGTCGCTATGGCCCATAGCGACACTGTGTCGCTATGGCCTATAGCGACACAGTGTCGCTATGGGGTGAGGCGACACAGTTCGTGCGCCATTAAAAATGGTGTAGCCCATAGCGACACTGTGTCGCTATGGCCTATAGCGACACAGTGTCGCTATGGGGTGAGGCGACACAGTTCGTGCGCCATTAAAAATGGTGTAGCCCATAGCGACACTGTGTCGCTATGGCCTATAGCGACACAGTGTCGCTATGGGCTACACCATTTTAAATGGCGCACAAACTGTGTCGCCTCAGCCCATAGCGACACTGTTTTGGCTCATTCGAGCCCAGCCCACACAAAAAAAAAAAAAACCACGTGGCATTGGTGTCGCTATGGCCCATAGCGACACCGTTGTAAACAGCCTTAAAGGCGTAAATAGTTTTCAAACAGCACCATTTACGTAAATAACTTCCCAGACAACCCTACTTTGGTCAAAAAGCCCTAAATATACTTTTCTTTTTATTTAACATATAAGTAAATTAATTTAATGAGATTAAGAGAAAAAAAATATAAATATTTTGGCTACAGGTGTCAATACCTATCAAAGCGTTACAAGTACGATGTGTGGACAATGGCACAGAGGATCCGATCCATTCGGTCTATAAATTCTAACCCAAATTCGCGGCGTAAGAGTGGCAAGGAATTTAGATAAACCTGAAAAGAGTTGAGACTGACTTGACTCTATAGTGTAAAAGGTTTGTGTTTTTGGGGTTTGTCCCTACTTGCTAGTCATCTCATTTTCTGTTACTTTAATTATTTGCATGTTTGTTTAATCTGAATCACGCCATGCTATTTTTATTCATGCTTGAATTATTGGTTATGAAAATTTGATTGCGCTAGTCTAATTTTGCTACAATCTGTTATCCTTTTTTTTAATTGAAGAAATTGAACAAACTGGCAAATTTTCCATAGGTCTTGCTCTGATTTTTCTCCTGTTGTGTGCATGTGAAGAATAACAGTTGCAATTGAAACTGACGATTGAGGGATTTTTCTGATCGTGTGAATTTTTTTGCATTCTCCACATCTGTAAAGTTGATAAATCTTTAGCAAATTGAACCACCTTCAAGAGATGGTGATCCACCATTTTCGGTCATGAGAATATTTGGTTTTCTATCTCTTTTGTGTCTTTTTTAATGGGGGTAAAATACCTTTTTTCTTTTCTTGAATGTGAAGAATTCATCTTTATGCTTTTGGGGTATAAGGACAGGGTTTCTTTACTCTTCTTAGAATCAAAATGTCTCATTAGTCATTATTCTTCTGCAGGTGTGGAACTTTACTTTTTACTGTTGTTGTAGGCTGTGTAATTTTAGCACGAACCATTTGTTGTATTTTTAAACCAATCCTTTGTGTCATAATGGTACTTGTGGTCATATTTTTAATCCTTCTATTGCTTCTTGTAGCTTGAGAAGAATGGATACCTTCCTGTTCACTTCTGAGTCAGTGAATGAAGGTCACCCCGACAAGCTTTGTGACCAGATTTCTGATGCAGTCCTTGATGCCTGCCTGGACCAAGATCCAGAGAGCAAGGTTGCTTGTGAGACCTGTACCAAGACCAACTTGGTCATGGTGTTTGGAGAGATCACAACAAAGGCTGATGTAGACTATGAGAAGATTGTGCGTGACACGTGTCGTTCCATAGGCTTTGTGTCCAATGATGTTGGCCTTGATGCTGACAATTGCAATGTGCTGGTCTATCTGGAACAGCAAAGCCCTGATATTGCTCAGGGAGTCCATGGCCACCTCACCAAGCAACCTGAGGAGATAGGTGCTGGTGATCAGGGCCACATGTTTGGCTATGCCACAGATGAAACACCTGAGCTTATGCCTCTCAGCCATGTCCTTGCAACCCAGCTCGGTGCTCGCCTCACTGAAGTTCGCAAGAATGGAACCTGCACCTGGCTCAGACCTGATGGAAAGACTCAAGTCACAGTGGAGTATTACAATGACAATGGTGCTATGGTCCCGGTGCGTGTCCACACAGTCCTGATTTCTACTCAGCACGATGAAACTGTTACCAATGATGAGATTGCAGCTGACCTCAAAGAGCATGTTATTAAGCCTGTTATACCTGAGAAGTACTTGGATGAGAAAACAATTTTTCATTTGAATCCATCTGGCCGTTTTGTCATTGGTGGTCCTCATGGTGATGCAGGTCTCACAGGGCGCAAAATCATCATTGACACCTATGGTGGTTGGGGAGCTCATGGTGGGGGTGCCTTCTCTGGGAAGGACCCCACCAAAGTGGATAGGAGTGGTGCCTATATTGCTAGACAAGCTGCAAAGAGCATTGTGGCCAGTGGTCTTGCTAGAAGGTGCCTTGTGCAAATTTCATATGCAATTGGTGTTCCTGACCCCTTATCAGTGTTTGTTGACACTTATGGGACTGGAAAGATTCCAGACAAGGAGATTCTGAAGATTGTGAAGGAAAATTTTGATTTCAGGCCTGGAATGATGTCCATTAATTTGGACCTCAAGAGGGGTGGGAATGGAAGGTTCTTGAAAACGGCTGCTTATGGTCACTTTGGAAGAGAGGACCCTGACTTCACCTGGGAGGTGGTGAAGCCCCTCAAGTGGGAGAAGCCCCAAGAGTAAGGTTGCAGTGAGAGTTATGATGAGTTGGTTCTTTAGCTGCTTTCATGACTGAGTTTTTTGGTTTGATTTTGGCTTTGCCTTTTCTTTTGGGTCTTGTTTTTACCTACTGTATCTCCACTCTGTTAGTTCTTTGCCCTATCCAAAAACATGTTTGTACTGAGCTGAGTATTTTAAAAAGTTAGGGGACTGTTTAATATTATGTTTGAAACAACTATCATTATATTCATTTCTATTCATTACAAGTCTCGTGGAATATTTATAATCCTTAATCTCGGTAACATGGCAGAATATTGAGGAATTACAGAATTACAGGTTCCTTAGTTTTTTTGGTTTGGAGTCACTTCACTTGAATCAGATATATTCATTGGAAAACTTATATTTGCCTTGCTACATCTGTTGTCCCTCATACATCGCGAATGCAAAAGAGAAATGTTGGTTTCGAATATTGCTGGTACAAATCATCGTTCAAAATAAAAAATATCATAAGAGTAGCAACTGAAGGAAAAGGAAATTACATTCTTCTTAGCTCTCCCTCTCCCTAAATATTTTTGCGTACACTGTTATTCTTCCAAATCCAAATTTCTTGTTACTGCTGAATGTTATTACTTATTAGCATTTCTTTTACACTTTTCTTATTTAATCAAGACTAAAATTCGATTCCTAGTTTAAAAATAGAGTTGCGAGAGTTTGATTCCTAATTTGAAAATAGAGTTACAATTAGAAATATCAAATCAAAAACTAAAATTCGATTCCAGTTTAAAAACATAGTTGCAAGAGTTCGATTCCTAATTTGAAAATTGAGTTGTAACTAAAAATATCAAATCAAAAACTAAATTTCGATCCATGGTTTACAAATAAAGTTGCAAGAATTTAATACTCAGTTTAAAAATAGAGTTGCAATTAGAAATATTAATTTATTAAATAGCGCATTCATACTATTTTTAAGAGAAAAAGGTTATATATATATATATATATGTATGTATATATTATGGTACAATATGTTAACATAATGTGGCAGATTAATCCAATTAGTGCAAATAGGAACCATGAAAGAGAATGAGAAGGAATCGCTATGCCAGCAAGCCTTAGCCTAGTAGGTTGAACCGGTTCAGGCTGCTCAAACATTTTGTATTTAGATGGGTTGATGCTCAAACGCAATACATCTCCTGTATTTTTTTTTTGTCAATAGTACAAGAGAACGCAGGCTCCAAAGGCCCAAAGGAACAAACCCAACACTCCTAAAGAATCTCCCAGCAGCAAAAACAATCTAACAGAAAATTCATCACTTCCACTTAGTTGCCTTCGGAGTCAAGGCTTTCTGACAACACAACACAATACATGTCTTGTTCAGTATTAAGGACCTCCCCAATACATCTTTAGTGGCCTTTTATTTACGATTATGGATTATGGTGAGACCAGTTAAAGTCTAAACTAGCCTCATTTTTCATATTCATCATATTATAAGTGAGACTTTCACTTTCTTCCCTCTCAGATAAACATTTTTTTTAGTGTCGTTCTATTTATAAGATCTAACATTAAATAATTATTTATTTTTTTTTTATAAATTTTATTTTTTTCTCATATATTAATTATTTTTGGACTAAAATATCATAAATTAAAGTGTGTTATCTTAACTTAATAAAATGCATTAATTATAAATTCTCTAAAGAGTATGTACTTTAGTCAAGAGAAATATAAGCATTAATTAGGATAAAAAAATAATATAGGACAAGTACTCTAATTGGTTAGAGATATATATTAAGAAAAAAAAATAGTATAAGGGTAGTTCTAAAAAAATATAGGTTAAAATACTTGTTTAATCTCTATTTTATAGTTTCATTTACTTCATTCACTTTTTAGTTCTTATAACTTAAAATATATTTTTTAGTTCCTATGCTTATCTTTTTCAATCTTTTTAACAATAGGCATCAAAGATATAAAAAAGACACAAAACATTGATAATTTAAAATAATTTCAAAAAAATAAATTTAATATCAGATATACAAAATTGAATTAAATAATTAATATCTATCACGTTAATCTAAAAGAGACAACATTACAACAACAAAAAAATAAACACAGAAACTAAAAGGGTTATAAAATTACAAATATAGAGGTTAAAAAGATTCTTATCTTAAATTATAAGAATTAAAAAGATCTATTTTAAATTATAAGAATTTATAAAATATATTCTAAGGAAAACTATAAGAAATAATAAAATATTTTAACCAAAAATATATAAATAAAACAAACTTATTGTTTTTAACTAAATCACCTACTTTTAATTTCGGTGAAATAAGTAATTGAGTATTATGTATAATAATAGAAGTAGTATTTAAATGTAATAAAAAAAAAAGTAGTATTTAAATTTTTTTCAGCAAAAATTATACTGTCACGTTCATGAAATTTTAGCATAGCCTAAAATAAACTGAAGGTCTCATGAGCGGTTTCTCAAAAACATAAACTGATCCTTCCCTTCTTACGCTCCCCAATAGCAACATATTAATGGAGCAAATATTGAAATTAGGAAAGATATCAAATTCTGTACACAACCCAATGTTATGGGTTCTTTATCTTAGGAATAGCATCCATCTTCATACACAAAAGGACACCAAGAACCAATGCATGGTAAGAAAAATATTAAAAATAAAAATATCCCCAGCTGTGCCTACCCCTTTGCAATGCCCATCTTAGGTAGGCAAAAATCCAAGAATCTAAAAAGCTACGGAGGAAAAAAAAAAGAAAAAAAAAAACTACCACTTTATACATCCCAGTAACCCCCGAATTCTCAATAATAATAGGGTCATGTCTGTTGTCACCCTCTTCTTTCTTCTCTGGAATCATGAATCTCACTCCTGTCTGTGTCAGAATATTCCTTCTGGGACTCTATTTCTCCACTACCCCCTCGATTTCTTCTTCGGTGTCTTCGGTCCTGAACATCCACACAACCAATGAAATCAAATGTCAGCCTAAAAACTTTGAATTTTGAAAGAAAAAACAAAAGGTGTGAGATCAACTTTGTTCTAATATGTCATTTCATTTTTCACAACAAAATTCTATGATGAGGACTTAAATCAAGGAAGTGGGAAAAAACAAACCTCTCTTGGTAAAGGGTATTCCTCTGACTCCAGCATACGTACAACTTGGCCCATCTTGGGCCTTTTCTCAGAATCTGGATCAACACATCTTAAAGCAGTTAAGAGAGCCCGTTTTAAAGCTCTGGTGGATGGCTTCATCTCAATGTTGGGGTCCACCACTTCTTCTGATCTCCTGTTTCCCACCATCATCTTCAGCCAATCAACCAGGTTCACCTGAAACCATTGCAGATAATTGGTATAGGTCAGTTAAAAAACTTGATCAGAACCTGTCTTGTAGAAATAAGTTATACTAAGAACACAATTCTTGTTTATATTAATAATCGAGCAAAAGGTGGTGAAGGGAGGAGTATTTATAGTCCTCTACACAAAGTCACAAACTAATCCTCTTATAATTATTGCAGGTGCCAGGCCAGAGTTCATATACCGTATAGTTAAAATGGACGTGGTCGATAATGAACTATTCATAGCTCAAATTAGTAAATTACCTTCCAAATTTTGAGGTTAACTGTCTATAGTGATAAAGTAAGCTTTGGATAAGCTTCAAAAGGATAAGGTAATGAATTTTGCTTTGTATGGGGTCCCTCGTAGCAATAATAGAAGTAAAATACTGAGCAATTTTTAGGTGCACCCAGGGCAAAAAAAAAAAAAAAAAAAAAAAACCACTTACGAACCATTCAAAACATGACCCCTCGTATGTAACATTCAACATGTTGCTAAAGTAGATGATAAATGACCCACAAAGCTGAGATGGTACACAGTACTCAAAGCTAAAGAGCAAAAAAAAGTTCTTTCTCTAGAAACAACTAAGAATTTCTCATATAGCAGTGATGACAATAATGAACATGCGAAAAAGATAGTTACTAGCATGTTGAGAAGGTCAGTGCTGTGTTTCCTGCTTTTGAAAGAGTTGCTTCAAAAAAAGTGAAGACTAAGGCCTTGTTTGTTTACTGTTCTCAGAAACACTTTCTATTTTCTAAAATTTGTGTTCCCTAAACACATTTGAAAGTGTTTGTTCCCCTAGTAATTTTTGTTTACGTACCATTCAAAACATGACCCCTCGTATGTAACATTCAACATGTTGCTAAAGTAGATGATAAATGACCCACAAAGCTGAGATGGTACACAGTACTCAAAGCTAAAGAGCAAAAAAAAGTTCTTTCTCTAGAAACAACTAAGAATTTCTCATATAGCAGTGATGACAATAATGAACATGCGAAAAAGATAGTTACTAGCATGTTGAGAAGGTCAGTGCTGTGTTTCCTGCTTTTGAAAGAGTTGCTTCAAAAAAAGTGAAGACTAAGGCCTTGTTTGTTTACTGTTCTCAGAAACACTTTCTATTTTCTAAAATTTGTGTTCCCTAAACACATTTGAAAGTGTTTGTTCCCCTAGTAATTTTTGTTTTGTAAAGGTTTGTCCCATGAGCATTTGAAGAAAAAAAGAGGATAAAAACGTGTTTTTTGGTTTTTAACACACTTGTTTTAGAAATAATTTTCAAAATTTAACAGATTTTGGATAAGAAATTGATTGCACGGTAGTGTGAAATTGATTTAGAATAGTATTTTTAAAACAAAAAAGTGCGAAGGAAACTTATAAGTTTTATTGCTGTTTTAACTAGTCAATTAATTTTTATGCATAATGTCCCAATATAATACTGGAAATGGAAGTCACTGGTTCAAATCCTGAAAACAGCCTCTCCACCTGGGGAACAAGGTTGCATGCTTCAACCCACCCCAGATTTCATCAGGTGGAGCCTTGCACTGGGTCTTCATTTATGTCCCAATTATTTGCTTCTCTTAAGAGTTGGAAAAAATAATTAGAGATAATAGAGCAGTCATGCACCACCAAATTGAAAACAGAATGGAACAGACCAGATTTTTCATATGAATAGATTTGTTGCTAATAATATATAATTTTCATCCTTAAGTTGATTGGAAAAAAAGGTAGAAGTGTTGTATAGCTACAACATATGTCAAGATTAGCCGCAGATACACAAGACAACAATGCATTTCTTTAGTACCACAATTTGGCTGAATGAACCAAACATACACGGTTAATGTTTCAGGGTGGTGAATTGGGAAAAACACACTGTATGCACAGTGCTAAAAGTTGAATTTTGTGCTCAAGATAAAAGTTTAC